TCGAGCACGACGTCGTCCAGCTCGAGCACGTCCAGTACGTCCAGTACGTCAAGCACATCGAGCACGTCTAGCACGACGTCGACCAGCTCCACGAGCTCGACCTCGAGCACGACGTCGACCAGCTCCACGAGCTCGACGTCGAGCACGTCTAGCACGTCCAGTACGTCTAGCACGACCTCGACCAGCTCGACGTCGAGCACGTCGTCCAGCTCGAGCACGTCCAGTACGTCCAGTACGTCAAGCACATCGAGCATGTCTAGCACGACGTCGACCAGCTCCACGAGCTCGACCTCGAGCACGTCTAGCACGTCCAGTACGTCTAGCACGACCTCGACCAGCTCGACGTCGAGCACGTCGTCCAGCTCGAGCACGTCCAGTACGTCCAGTACGTCAAGCACATCGAGCACGTCTAGCACGACGTCGACCAGCTCCACGAGCTCGACCTCGAGCACGACGTCGTCCAGCTCGAGCACGTCCAGTACGTCCAGTACGTCAAGCACATCGAGCACGTCTAGCACGACCTCGACCAGCTCTACGAGCTCGACCTCGAGCACGACGTCGACCAGCTCCACGAGCTCGACCTCGAGCACGTCTAGCACATCCAGTACGTCTAGCACGACCTCGACCAGCTCGACGTCGAGCATGTCATCCAGCTCGAGCACGTCCAGTACGTCCAGTACGTCAAGCACATCGAGCACGTCTAGCACGACGTCGACCAGCTCCACGAGCTCGACCTCGAGCACGACGTCGACCAGCTCAACCTCTAGTACTTCAAGCACATCAACTCAAGAGCCCACTTCTACCAGCTCGACCAGCTCTACTAGCTCGACCAGCTCAACTTCTAGTACGTCAAGCACATCAACTGAAGAGCCCACCTCTACCAGCTCGACCAGCTCTACCAGCTCAACTTCTAGTACGTCAAGCACGTCGAGCACATCGACTGAAGAGCCCACCTCGACCAGCTCGACCAGCTCTACTAGCTCGACGAGCTCGACCAGCTCAACCTCTAGTACGTCAAGCACATCAACTGAAGAGCCCACCTCGACCAGCTCTACCAGCTCGACCAGCTCTACTAGCTCGACCAGCTCAACTTCTAGTACGTCAAGCACATCAACTGAAGAGCCCACCTCTACCAGCTCGACCAGCTCGACCAGCTCTACTAGCTCGACCAGCTCAACTTCTAGTACGTCAAGCACGTCGAGCACATCGACTGAAGAGCCCACCTCGACCAGCTCGACCAGCTCTACTAGCTCGACGAGCTCGACCAGCTCAACCTCTAGTACGTCAAGCACATCAACTGAAGAGCCCACCTCTACCAGCTCGACCAGCTCTACTAGCTCGACCAGCTCAACTTCTAGTACGTCAAGCACGTCGAGCACATCGACTGAAGAGCCCACCTCGACCAGCTCGACCAGCTCTACTAGCTCGACGAGCTTGACCAGCTCAACCTCTAGTACGTCAAGCACATCAACTGAAGAGCCCACCTCGACCAGCTCGACCAGCTCGACCAGCTCTACTAGCTCGACGAGCTCGACCAGCTCAACCTCTAGTACGTCAAGCA